TGTGTGTGTGTGTGTGAGGTGGGGGGGCACTGATGTGTGTGTGTGTGTGCACACCCGTGTGCAAAAAAGTGTCCACTAGTGAACAAAAAGCAACATTTCATCTGGATTTCCTTTAATTCCACACATTTAAAACATGTTTCTCACCAAGTTTGTGTAAATTCGTCTGTGGTTTAAAGACATTTTAACTTTAATACACTTTAACACAGAGCGTCAGGTCGGCACTATTTGTGTTTATAGAAATAAAAACCATCACCACTGAACATCACCAGTGAAACCAACATGATCCTTGGTGAAACTTTAGCAGGATTTGTTTTTTACAGCTGTTCTGAAGCCGTTACAGATGTGTGGTCAGCATCTCTCCTGCTGAACTTTGTCCCCTCGGAGTCGTATCGTAGACGGTGGCGCTGAAAGGTTTTACTCTCATCGAATCGTGGCGATGATTTCAATTTCTGGTTTAAGTCGCAGTGTTCTGCCCAGCTGTACAGATGTAGTCACAATTGAACTTTCTTGTGATTTATTTACCTGGATGATTGAGTGTACTTACTCTTGTTCTTTTTGTTGTTTGCTTTGGTTTTGCTCTGCTTTTATTTTGAAATACTTTCCCCTCTGTTCCTGCTTCCTGTGACTTTCTCTTGTGTTGTCCTGTGGACTGACTGGTTCATCTCTACAGAACACATCGGTGTTTAACATGTATTATTTTACTCCACTCTATTCCAGAATCAGAACCAGAACCACAAACTGAACAAATCTGGGTAATAAATCATATATTTGTAATACAAGTTGTAACATTTGATACTGAAGAAGTCTTTCACATGAAAGACAAAACATTTCTAAAATTATTCTGTTTTTTGAACCCATCCAGAGGACCAGACGAAACTTTTTTAGATAAATCATATATTGTACTTAATGGACATGTTTTTCTTTTCCAAACAGGTCTTTAGTCTTCATTTGATTGTGTCCCTCCATGCTTCTGCAGACTCACAGTGGCTTTCTTTATTTATTCGGTCACTTTAATGTTGCTGATTTAAAGGACGATGGTGCTTTTTAACCTGCAGCAAACCTCCGTCCTGCAGGAGGACACCATCAGGCTACAGAGCTTCACCTCCCTCAGCTCTGTTTGTCTTCTCCCTGAAGAAACAAACAAAACTCGACTTCAGGAACCTCAGAGAACGTTATTCTGGTCCAACTAGAACCTTTTCTCATTCTGAACATGTGTTTGTGCAACACAATTTTTTTAAACCAATTTAAATCAAAGCTGCAGTTCCTGGAGTTATCCTGTTAAATAATAAATAAAACACACACACACACACACACAGATATAAACACAACAGGAAGATGTTTCTGGTATTGTCTCTTCAGTTTTATGTCTTTTTAAAATATTAATTCCTGTATTTCAGCCTTCATCACATCCCAAAAGAAAAAAACAAAAAAGTTGCAACAAAGCAATTCAGGACTGATAAATAATAAAAATAATAACGCTAGAAGTTGGACCTTTGTGGAAACTGCCAGGATCCATGTATTTTTTTGTTGTTTGTTTTATTGCTAGTTTTTCTGCTTTAATATCAGGTTATTTATGTTTCGTGGTTCTTGAGTTTGATTTTCTGTCAGTTCCTCTGAGCTATGGGTCCCCCTCCCTCAGCGCAGATCCTGCTCCTCAGTCTTTTTATTCCTCTCATTGTCATTCAGAAATCCTTCCAGCGATATTCAGATCCTGTCTGGTTCTCCTCAGCCACGGAATCTCCAATTTCCTGTGACCCGTTTAAACTAAATGATGGTTCTGCTGTGATGGCTGAGCTGAAGATCCAAAGAGGAGTGAGTTTCACCATCAATAGTTGTCTATGGGGGCAGTTTCCACATATTTTAGAACATTTTCTCAATCTATTGATGTTCATCTGTCAAAGTTCTCTGTTCCTGATGGACACACAGATTCCGATAAATTATTATTAAGTGTGACCCAAACCAAAGCAGAACAGGTGAATCAAGTTGTAACAAAAATGAAAAAATAACAAGCAGATGATAAAATGATAAAAATGACAATAACACAGAATGTGTAATGTATTCTAAATAAAAATAAATATCAATAAATAATTTAGCAATACTGTAGATCCACAAATTAGTTCTATCAAACACTGGTTTAAATGTTCTTTTCATTATAGACTTTAAAAATGTCTCTTTAATTCAGTGCATGACCTTCTAATGGAAA